ATAACTTATTCACTATGTAAGAACTTGTTCACCATGTAAAAACTTGTTCATTATGCTTCAGAAGATTGGAGACTGTTGAGAATTAGGCATGGGGTTGATTAATGATTGTGCATTGAGTCCCCTATATAGAATTTTATTGTTGTTAACAACCATTTGATCAAAAAATATGAGAGATGCCCTCTCAAAAAAAAAATTACATTACAAAGGAAGGAAATTGACAAGGAACAATATGTTAGATAGAAATAAATTCTGTTTTCTTTCATTAAAAAATAAGATAAGGCAACCAATTAAAAAATGGGCAAAAGGCGTGAGCACGCTCCTCACAAAAGGGGATATCCAAATAACCAATTCCTTTAGTCATCAGGAGAATGAAACATTAAAACACAGTGAATTAGTAATGCACACTTACCAGAATGGCAAAATCTTAAAATTTTAAAAATAATGTCAAGTGTTAGAATGTGAAAAATGGGAACATTCAATTACTGCTGAAGGGAATATAAACTGGTGTATTCATTGTCAAATATCTATAAAAGCTAAACATACATATACTCTATCACCCAGCAATTCCACTCTTAGATACATTCTCAGCAAAGCACACATTTCCCCAATGACATGTATAAGAATGTTCATAGCAACTCTACTCATAATAGCCAAAAACTAGAAACAACCTAAAAGTCTGTGAATAACACAATGGATAAATCATGATATTCATACAATTAAATACCACATAGCAATAATAGAAAGAATAAATTATTGATAAATACAACAACATGGATTAATATATATATAATTGTTTGCTACGGTCACCATAGCATAATACTACAGGCTGGGTGGCTTAAATAACACACACTTCATTTTCCAAAACAATCACTGTGGGCCATGGAAATGATTGATAAATTTCCTCTTAAAGCTTATTCAGATGTATCAGTCTTTGCAAATAAAAAAACATCTTCAAAGAAATTTCTCCTATAATACTGTAGGTATCAGCAGTATCTCCATAATGATTTTTGCCAGGCAGAGAGAATTTAATACTGACTTGTTATTATGTATAATGTGTCCATGTGAAATACTACATTTTAAAAATGATTTGTCACAATTTCCTATTCTTTCTCCAGCAAAAATAGATCCTCCACTCATGAACATAACTCAAGTTAATGGATCTTCATTGGTGATTCTCCATGCTCCAAATTTACCATATAGAGACCAAAAAGGAAAAAATGAACCAATGGAAAATTACTACGTGCTGGTATACCGAGTCTTTGTAATTAACAATTCACTACAAATGGTAAGTTCAAAAATATAGATAAGTTTGTTTTCTTCTTTGGTTCATTTGAGTAACATTTTAGCCACCAAATATATCCTCTCTTTGGCTACTCTCTCTCTCTTCTTATCATCCCTTATCTTTTTCTAGTTCCTTCTCACTTTCCCCTTCATCGATAAACTATTAGCTCTTGGCATCAGCCTCAGAATCTGCGTCTACCTGTATGGGTGTTTGCACTTTTTCAATCACTCAGCTTGTCTCAACTTGACCTTCCATGAATATCTAAAGATTAGTATTAGCAATCTTCAGTTCCACTTGACTACCACAAATATTTGTTTGTATGGACTTTACATACCTAATTTCAAGTGGTTTTTGGATCACAGCGCTATATATTTGTGCCAATTTTGCCATCATATTCTAATCCATAAGGTCTATATCTTGGTTTGGTGGTTAACTGAATACTCCTTTTTTGGTGTCCATCTGAGGCAGGAGTCTTTGGTTATAAGGAACAGAAGAAGCCCATTCAAATTGGTTCAACAAGATAAGTGGAAGGGAGGGGAGGATTTATATTAGGAGATAACATGCAATCTTATGAAGAGCTAGAGGCAGGAACTAAAGTGCTGCCAGGCTCTGTATGACTGGGAAGGGAAGATGGAGAAGCCAGTCCTAAAGAATTCCACTCTGTCTCTCTCTGGCCACATGTTGCACACCTACAATTGTCTCCAAGTCTACTCCATTCTTGCTGCAAGTTCAAATTCTTGCAAAAGAGACTGCGCACTGGGCCAATCAATCAGCTGTTCTCAGGGAGAAGTCATGCGGGACCTACACAGCCATATCTCTGGAGGAGGAGGAAGTGCCTGGGAAGAATCCCTAAAACTTAACTACCACTGTAACTACTTAATTAATTTTATTAAAAATAGGGCAAGTTGGTGATTTACTGAAAACCACTTATCATCTCATTTTTACCCCTGTGTGTAGGAACAAAAGGTATATGAGGGAATTCAAAGAGTTGTTGAAATTGAAGCCCTAGTACATCACAAGGGTTCCTGTGTGGTGGCTGACATATATCAGCCCATGTTAGACAGAAGAAGTCAGAGAAGTGAAGAGAGATGTGTGGAAGTTCCTTGAAGCGGCATGGAGTGCTGGGCAGCATGGAAAGCAAAGGCCCCTGAGAACGGGACGCTCATGGCTGGAGGATCTCATTGACAGGGGTCTTTATGTTTTTTTAAAGCAATGTTCACCATTACACTTTAGGAACTTCTGTATTTAGCCATTCTTTCTTTATATTTTACTTATAGACTAAATTTAAGCAACACCCCCATCCCCACAAGAAAAAGTAGGATTTAAAGAAGAGGCAGAGAACAAAGGGCTCTCTGCAATACAGAACTTTATTTCTGAATGTAACATCCCTAACAACAATCTTTACTCTTCTGAGACAGCTAAACAACAATTTAAGAACCAAGGAAAAGTAGGCCCTTAATAAAATATCGTTAGATTATTAAAAAGTAGCATTAAAAACTGAAGCAATCTTGAAGCACACATATTTCATTCTCAGTTGAGTCAGTTAAATTGACACAGATGTGCCAATTTTTACATGAATGAATATTTCCCACACATTTCTATGTTATGTGAATATGCTTTTCCATAGTAACTTTTTATTATAAAATATTTCTACTTAATGAATCAAAATTTCCTTTTAATTGCTATTCTGTGTAAGTAAGAATCATATTTGAAAAACCTCTCATGATGTCTGGGTTAATATCCAGATTAAGATATTAGCAATAACTGATATCTTACTGATATATACTGGAAAACACCTGTTCTGTACAATTCCCCTCATTACCACACATTCTCTTTAAGGTTTTCTTTTCTGTTTTGGTTTGTTTTGCTTTTTAATCTTGCCTTAGAAGAATTTATCCTTATCCTCACAATCGGGTATCATGTTTTTCAGCATCAAAGTAAAAAAGAAAACTTAGCTCCAGTTTATGCCACATTCCCTACTCAACCCTCCTGGCAAAGAGTCTCTTGCTGGTGGGAGCTTTATAATCTTACATACAGGGATTTTATGAATGCAGTTTGAGAGGCATAGGGAACCAGGCAGAGAAGTTGGTTTGAAGATGAAAGCACACAGTGGGTAGTAGGAGTTGTTTGGGGGAGAGACTGGTGATGAAATCTACAGGGCCAAAGAAGGCTCACCAATGACCTCCCAGCAGCCCCAGGGCCCACCTGAGTAAAGGTCTGAGGCTTAGGGCTCCGTGTGTCAACAGAAAGCTTCCTTCTTCACTTTGAGCTTAGTCTTGTATATTTATTTAATGTTATCTTTCTTATGAAGAGATATATATTGAAGAACATGTGTACAGTTCCTCACGAAAACTGTTACAAAATGACATAAAAATAGAGTAAGTGCTTCTGGTTATACAGAAATACATGCAATACTAAATGGATTAAAAATGATTCAGAAGTGCATAGAGAGAGAGAGTTAGAGGCCTAACAAGATCTGGAGAACTGGTTTTATCGCTTTCCCACATGGTCAGAAGAAATGAAATTGAGCATAGGACTAGAGACAAAAATAAAAATTGCTTTCATCTGTGTTTTTCAATGATATATATATATTTTTTTTTCTTACGATCTTTTTTTTACTTTTTGTCCTTTTGAGGGAGGATTAAGAGCAATGGAATGGATGGGGAGTAAAGACTGTGCATGGCCAACAGCATTTGTGTTTATGAAATTCAATAGTCTAAAGCCTGATTTAAAAAACAATTATGGTTCCCTCATGAAAGTTATCAGGTAACATCAAGTTTTGTTTTATTTTGTTTGTTTTGCTTTGATTTTGCTTTCATGCTCAGGTAAATCACTGAGAAACACTTAGGCAAGAATAAAATACTTATAAAAATGTATAATTGTCACATTCTTCATTATGTTAGGAATGTTTTGTCATACTATTTCAATAAATCTTTTAAATTTGCTTTGAAACATTTGTTATTTGGGTTTTTAAAAGGATAGAATTGCTAAGTCTTTCAGATGAAATCCTAATTAGACTTCTAGACCCACACTAAATTCCAGCCAGAAAGGAGCAAACAGCCAATTTAGCAGAACTCCAGGCATTCACTGATTTTAGCCTATGATCAAATGGCAATTCCACTCTTAAGTTTCTCAGACCAGAGCCTCTGGGGCCATCTTTGTCTCTTTCTTTTCCAAAATATGACACTTCTCACAAGTACCTCATTGCAAACCGACATTTCTTATCTGGATAATTGTTGCAGCCACCATATTGCTCCTGCAATCCCTCTAGTCTAGTTTCATCAGGGTAGCAGGGTGATCCTTTGAACATAAATCATATCATGTCACTCTTCTGCTATAAACCTCCAATGACTTCTCACCTCATAAGGGTAAAAAGCAAAGTCTTATAATGGCTTCCAAGGCCCTGAATGGTCTGATCCCTTCTCTCATAATCTCAGACTTCGCTCCCTAATTCTGGCCACATTAACTTTGCTCCAGCACACGGACCCCATTGCTTAGCCCTTCAGTACGAATGCTCTGGCCTCTGGGCTTACCTACCAGCTGTTTCCTGGAAAGGTGTGCCCTCATATACCCATAGGCTCACTCCCTCACCTCTGCCAGTTCTTTGCTGGAAAATTGCCTTATCACCATTTGATTCAAAAATTCAAACTTAACCCTGCAATTCTCTCCACCCCTCATTTTTAAACCACCTGATACACCGTGCAGTTTACTTATTTACCTTGTTTATGGCTTGTCTTTCCCTCCTCCAGGTAAAGGCTAGTTTGTCTGTTTTTCACAGCTGCATCTTCATTATCTAGAACAGAACCATATACAGTAGACAGTCAATACTTGTGGGATAAATAAATGAAGCCAGAGCAGAATCACTGAAAGCAGGGAGGGGTGGGGGAGGAGGACAGGAGAGGCTTTCCTTGTGATTTGTATACAACCTGCTGCCTTATCTTCCTCTACTGGTTAGTATGGGAGAGTGGCTGTTTTTACAGAGTTGCAGAGATGGAGATAAGCAGAGGCCAGGTCTTGGGCAGTTCTGACACTGCAGGAGAGAGCTAGCTATTCTGGAATCATTGTTTCTTCCTCCCTGAGTGTCATCTCGTAGATGCTGTTTGTTCTCCTAAGTGGGTGGTCAGTGCTTAAGTCCTTCCCTAGACCTTCTTCAAAAGGATGAGGGAGTGAAACTGGGGATGTGAAAAGGACACATGTATGGTGACAAGAAGGAATTTTAGAGAATGTTCTCATGACAGCGTTGAGTAAAAGAAACCATGAGAAACCAGGATGCCCAATGAGCAGATGAGATGCCCTTAGGTCTGCTTCCTCTTGAGCTGGATCAGGTGTTTGAGGGAATGGGCTGGAAAGGCAGCTAACTTCTACTGTGGATGCGCCAGTCATTGCACGTTGAAGGATTATTCATATAATACTGATGAGAGCGAAGGAGAGATTCCAGTGGACACACAAGGTACAAAATGTCTTCAATGGCAAAGGATTTGGGGACTTTCAGATGGTTAAATTACTAAAGGGACTCCCAGTTGGGGTTCATGCTCCCAGGTGCCTACATTGCCCCATGAAGACATGCTGTTCTTAGCTGCTTAGCATAAGGGACCCCCAGGTGAGAGGTCCTCTTTGCCATTCTCACAGGGACTTGATACCCTCCTGGTTCCCTGGTTCCCCTCTCATCTGTCTTTTGAGGAGGCCAGCTAACGGCCTGCCTGCTCACAGGGAGCAAGCAGAAATGGTGACAGAGGATCTCAGCCCTGACAACTGGCCAGGAGAGCACACGAAGGGACGGTCATTTCTTCAGGCACATCTCAGCAGGTCCAGGCTTCAGCTGTCTGAGGTCTGCACTCACGTGTGCACTATTCCTTTACCCCTCACCCTTGCCCACAGGTAGCCATGATTATTATGAAATAGATAGTCGCCTATTTTATAGAAGAGCCTCTGGGAATTGTGATTTGCCAACAACAGAAACCACAACTATCTAATTCCACAGTTGGAGCACTTTTTATCAGATCCACTAGAATATCCTTTGGGTTTTTGTAGAGGTGGATTTCCCTGTAGTTCCTTTTTTAAATATCAGTTTTGCTCTGTTGAATTTCAGGACTTTTTTTCCTTTAATGTCAGTCAGCATATTGAAGGGCAAGTATGATGTATTCATGGAAAGATCTCTTAAATCTATACATTTAATGGCAAACATTCACTACTTTGGTAAATTCCATCTCCAACCTGCTATGAAGGCTAGTGTCAATAACTTCTATGATATCTCAATTTGCAAGCAAGAAATCCAGAAATTATTTTGTAATTAAAGCCCCAATGTTTTCAAGGCAAAAAATAAAATAAAAATTTTAAACACAAGAACAAGAGAACCTGAGGAGTTGAAAATCTGATTTAAAATGAACTCTAGACAAACCTTTTAAAACTATAACCATTCAGAAATTTGTACACCAGACTGTATGTTTCTCTTTACTTATACGCCATTTACCCAGAGAGGTAAGTATAGTCAGAGAATAGAACATTTCTCATGGTTTCAGTGAATTTTCTTTTGTTTAATTTATCCTTCCGGTTGGGACCATGTTCCCTGGAAAGGAAAGCAGGACTTTGTGTTTAAACAATGACAAAACTCACTACATAGCCAAACGCTTAATGTTGCTTAGACTAACTACCAGAATTAATCTCTACAAATAGAAGTGGCCCAAGGAAAGGGACTTTGACCCCAGTGTTCAAAGATATAGACTTTTTTTAAAGCTAAGACCTCAATCCCTTTCAGCACTTCTTCCCCCACAACTAGCATCTCCACTCACATCTCTGGGCCTGACGTGGGCAGGGGCCGATCCACTGAGCTCTCCTTCCACTCTCTAGACCTTCCTCCCTTATGATCCACAGCAGGTTGCAGAAAGCAGCCAGTTATATTTGTATAACTAACCAGGTATTTGCATTCAGGCTTTTTATCTGTAAAAGTTTAATCTGGAATGAAATGCTTTGTGCTGAGTGAAACTGATTCTAGATACAATATACCACTGGAAATATGTAAAAAAGGCCCTTTAGCCTGTCCATGAAATCATACTGTGCCCAGGGCTGGTGATTCTAGAGATGGGTCTGTTTAATTTTTTAGCGGTCTAGGAAGGTGGGAGAGGGTGAGATGAGGCACATGGCAGGTAGTGGCTTCTACAGAGCTGATACTTTCTTCACGCTCACCCCTCGGTCATCGACCCCAAGATTCCCACATAACACCACATGACACTCCACATGACTTCTGCTCACTGTCTTCCCACTTCCCTGCCTATCTGTTGCCTCATCAAAGGGGTTCTTCCCACTTCCCACCACACGCACGCACTACATGGCCAACCTGGTGGGATGTGACTCAGGTGGGTCAGTCAGAGTTCTCTTCAAATACTGGTATTGGGAGTGGAAGGGAGAAACCTGCTCCCACCTCTGGGATGAAGCTCTGTAAGCATCAGCTAAGCTGGAGCTGCTGCAGGCCAGCTTTCCCACCAGATAGACAAAGCCCCTTAGTGAACGAAGTCAACACAGAGAGAAACAAAGGAAACTTTTTCCATGTCCATTCTAACCTTTAAATATTGAGAGGAACATTGCTAGAAAGTGTTATCTTTCCACAGATGATACAATTAATGCAGTTTGAGCTCAGGAAAGCCCTATAGAAACATGTGTGTTATTCTTATCATGGCTGTATTAGATGGTGTCAGCCAAGGTCTGGTGTGTTCAGCAAACCCTTATCTTGGTTATATTACTTGTTTCAAATTGCAGCTACCTTGGCGCTAAGTACATGTGGAATTTTATTTCTATGCATTTTTATAATGGCAAATCAAGGTCCCATCTGAAATTCTTCAGAAATCATACAGCTAAATGATTACTATAACCAAAGGGTTATTATCTCCCTCTTATTCTGTTCACACAATCTTCAAAGTCAAAAAGTCCTTTTAGAAAGCTCCAAGCTCAGGTCACAGATATTTACTGCCATCTTAATATAAGCACAGTGCAGTGCTAGTGACTCTATCCCATATACCACATCTACAATGTCATCAGTACTTGTTTCAAGTGCTTATAATGATCTTGTTCTCTCACCCCTTCTCTCTCTCTCTCTCTCTCTCTCACACACACACACACACACACACAACACACACACAACACACACAACACACACACACACACACACACACACAGAGCATCTGCTGATGTAGGCTTCTAGCATGTCATCTCTACTGTTTTGAGAACAGGGCTTTTGTAATTCTGTCTAAATTTCAGCCAACACCTGACTTCACCACTATCCTCCACATCTGCGCAGAAAACAATATTTTGCATTGTTTGTTTTTTATTGTTTACTGTGGTGCCAAACAACTTTAGTAAAAAGGAATGTTTCCAAAAACAATGGCTTGTCAACTTCTCATCAGAACAACAGCATCCAAGTTTATTTTTGTTCTTGCTTTGCTATTGCAGCTATGCCATCAAAAGTTTTGCAACAGTGGCAAGAGTGGACCTGTGGAGGCAAGACCTTGACAGTCTGCCAAGACCTCCACAGGCCGGGATCCTTTGTCGTTTATAATCATAGTATTCTGATGGCTCAAGTTCATTATTAAAAGTAATAAATCTCATTCCTTTAAGGAAAAGGTGTTTAAGATCCAAACTCTTCCTTTTTATAAACCTCTAAAAGGAAAAATGAATTCACATTGGTATGGAAGGAAAAGAACTAATCTAATCTGAATCTAGATTTCCCTGAAAGGAAACAAATTTCCTTCCCTTTGCACAAGTAAGCAAAGAAAAGCAATTCATCTAATAGGAAAGCAGCCCAAGGATTTGTTTTACCAGCACAATGTAACCATGTACCACATGGGCATGCGGTCAAGTATTTGTTGACGAATTGAGTTACCCGCCCACCCTCCCATACAGACATTTGTTATTCTTTCTGGATGCTTCCTATGGGAACCCCAATCTTATGTTGGAGGAATCCCCCTACTTTATGAATTAGTAGCAGGTGCTCTATCTCCAAACCTCCCGTGAAACTAAGGGGCAAGTGCCAAGACTCTGCCAGTCTGATGCCCCTGTCGCAGACTGTGAATTGCAAGCTAGATAATAAATGAGTGGTCTTGTGCAGAATCCATTCTGGTCAGGGTGATGGGAGAATGGCAGAGAGACAGTTGGGGCTGCAATTTGGTAACAAAATCTGATGTCTAGAGTTTCAGCTTTAAGCTGTGGAAGCGGCAATGGCTATGCCCAGAAGCACAAGAGTCCTTAATGGACCCGCCTGTGACACGGCTGGAACACTGTTCCTGGCTGTGCAGCCTCCAAATCTGGTTCTCTGCCTCCTACCCACTGCTAACTCCCTGAAAAGCTTGCAAGTTACCCATAATCCATTTATTTATTTTCTTTTAAAATTATCTTTCATTCAGAAAAGTATACAAATCTTAGAGCTTTAAGGCAACACTTTTTTTACATATGAATTCTTTATTCCAGATCAAGTTATAGAGTATTTCCAACACGACTAAGGCTTCTTTGTAGAGCTTTCCCACCAGGATCTCCCAGGGCTGACTGCAATCCTGACTTTTGTCCCAGGGGCAAGTCTTTCCTGTTTTTGAACTTCATATAAATGGAATCACACAGTATGTAATCTGCATCTGGCTTCTTCCACTTAATGTGAGGTCTGTAAAATTCATCCATGTTGTGGCATGTTCGATAGTGTATATTTTTAAAGCAATTGTAGATTTCCACTGTATATTTATAACACACTTTACCTATTCCATTGATGGACACGGGGGTGCTTCCAGCTTGGAGATATCACAAAGTTTCTAC